TAGTTATACTTCGAATGAAAAGATTTTTAAAAAAATAGCTGCTGTTTATACTATATATGGATCAAGGCATAAAAACTATATATTAGAAATAAATCTAGCTATAACTGGAATCAAATATTCGATCGCACGATCTAAAACAATTATTGACATTGATAACCATATAATTAGTTCTGGGAGTTATACCAAATTCGTTAATTGGTTAGAATCATTAGCAGTTGAGAGTGAACCTTTACCTAAAGGACTCTTATTTTTAGCCTTTGATAACAAACAATGTGGTCAACATAATTATCTTGATCATGGTTATAATACAGTTATATATCAAACAGTTATGAGTTTTATCGTACTCAATATGAATAAAAATGATCGTGTTCAGTTTACAATTGCTCCTTGGCTTTGTAATTTGCTAATTGATAAACAATATGATAAGTTATATTATATTGCACCCAAAATGCAATCAGAATATGAATTAGAATTAAAATTATACTTATCATCAATTTTAGAGGAGCTTGTTGTGGAAAAAAATGGAAAATTTAATATGATCGATATGACCATAAAAAATCAAAAAGGCACCGGAAGTCACTCTAAATGGTGCAAAAAATGCAATATAACCAACATCGATAATAAAAAATATACTTGCTCTAATTGCAATGAAAAACTTGATACATTGACCAGTTTACAAGCAGAATCTACTAGCGAGTTGACACAAATTAATACAGCTTCCCAATCGAAGTCTCTCATAATAAAGCCTCATACATTTATTCATGAACAAAACTAGCCCAATTTTGATTGTATTAGTATTACACAACAGTTGAATCCAGAGCATAATGTTGTTATTCCTGAAATATATGTACCAGATCCATTAGAATATAATCCTAATTCAATAGATAACATTAGAAAAGTTCTAGAATACATACAAAAAATCGTGAAATTAAACCAAGAAGAGTAAAAATGGCTATCTGTTACTTGTGATGGCGTCCTTTATACTCTGGCTCAAAAGATTAAAAAAGACTTTCTGTGGCTTATATTGATTCCTGGTACTTTGCATGAAGAGATGAACATGCTTAAGGCATTCGTAGAATTAAATTAGTACTTTCTTTCTAAAGTATATGAATTATGCCTTTTAATATAAAAATTACTTAACTTATTTTCATTATTTTGCTTAAGGATAATTGATATCAAACAATTCACTTCTCTTCAAAGATACAGAATTAAAAACCAACTTGGATATTTTAAAAAGTATACCGATCATCATAAATCTTAGAACTCTATTTGTAATATTTACCAACATGCTATTACATGTAAGCTATTATGGCCATATATAGCTGCAACAGAAAATCTCTCAGTTGATAGCTATCTAGATTGGGCACGAAAACAAGAAAATTATATATATAAATTAAAATTCGAACAAGTAAGACTTTTAATACAGTAATAAAGTATTAATATATTTGAAACTTTGACTAATAATCATTATAGACATTTATCTATCTCCAGGCAGTCATCAATTTTTGTATGGGAATTAGAAATAATCGACCATTGTTGGTAAGTACTACTCAACATATATTTGCTCCAATATAGTCTGGTCATAGGCATCCTATATACTATTTACTTGAAATAACATATGAAGAACAACTGATGTGGTTAAATCCTGAGGTTAAACAGCATATAGAATTATATTCAGTTATTTCACGATCAGGATATAGCAACCAACATCAAGGCCTTGACGCTATTTTTGAGGAGATTAATAAATATTTAAAGGCCTTAATTCCACCTGTACCTTCACAAAAACATTGGAAAATAGCAGCTCGTAATTGTATGAAGTTTATAAAGATTAATAAATTGCATTTGCATTAAAAAAAAGAAAGATTACACCAATACTTACAATACATATTTTTATAATAATTAGCTACGTCGCATATTATTTAATATGATCAGGCATGCAGATAATGAATCATTAAGAGGTCAGTACATCCATATTATATGTTAGAATCATAGCAATTTTGGGTTAATTTATGTAAAGCTGGATTTTTGAATCCTCAAGATGATAATTGCGCCTTCAAGAGTCTTGAAGAGGAATATCTGCTTAACGAACAACTAAAAAATTTCAGTAATTTAGCATGTGAAAGGCGAATAAAGCTTATTAATAAGACTTTTAAAGGTAGCGAGTCAAATTCCTCACTTCGAACAATACCTATTACTGCTTAGAAAGCAGCAGCAGCTATGGATAAAAAAAATATGACTAAAAAAGAGCTTTTAGCAATTATTAATTCATTGCTAAATTCTATTAATACTTCAGATCGTCCAAGCTATCGTAGGTTGCCGCAAAAAACTAATACTGAGTTGCTAGAAATTTTACAAAGTATTAGAGATTTGCATAATAATCAAAATGAACTCGAAAATGAAATAGAATCAGAAAATTAAAATAAATAAAATAATCAATTACTAATCTCAATAACTCGAAATTATATTAATAATTATTGTTACTACCTTTAACGATTAGAAATCAAACAATATAGCCAAATCTCTATAAGTGTATTCTCTATAAGTGCATGCCAAGGACTTGCAGAATCTGTGATATAATTTAACACATTATGTTTTCGATATCAATAAATTATGTGATTTACTGCTTATTAACAATAAAAATATGAATTCGTATAAAATTTAAAAATTTACCTAATAAAAAACTTGTATTTTTTTTAAAAAAAAAGTTGTACTAAAACAAAATTTTGGTTTTTAGGCGCACATATATAGCCCATAGTATTTTATTTCTTTGAACTATTGAAATATATAATAATTTATTATATTTGCTAAAAATATTGTTTGAAAAATACATTTTCTATAATTAAAGCAAGTCAAAGCAATCAAAGCAAATTGCAGTAAATCACATAATTTTGCGATTTGCTTCGATCACAGCAAATCACAGAATTTACACGTCCCTGGTGCACGCCCTCTCTTAAATTCTGGCACAACTATATATAAACTTATAAATGCACTTTCTCTTATTGTGTCATGTTGTTAAACTTTGATCCCAAGAGCGTGCACTTGTAGAGGTTTGATTGTACTTAGTTTTCATCGTTCTAAAGCTCTTGATAATATTATTTGATAAAGTTACTACATTCAGATGTTTTGAAGGTTCTTTTTGTAGCTCTGTAACTATTAACTATAAGAGAAACTTCAAATCTAAATTATAAATTTCATTGTCATTAAAAATACAATATATTGTAAAATAAGCTAATGCAGTAATGCATTCTTCAATACTTATCTTATTAAATATCTAATAATTCTTCTAATTTTACTTTATTTTATGTTCTACATAAAAGGTTTAAATTGTAATGTTGAACACATGAAACCTTTTGAAAAAAAAAATAGTTTTGATCTTGGTAAATTTTAACATCAAAGCCTTCTCAAGTTCAAGAATTAGAGATCAATAGGTGGTTTATACAAATTACAGTTAATATTCATTTGGATATATAAACTTCGGATTTGAACCAATTGGACTTAAGGCTAAAGTTAAAGTTAAATAGATTTAAGGGCTAGGACTAAATGAAACACTTAAGGCTAGTAACAAACACTTTTTTTGCTTTTTTGCTTTTTGCATTTTATAATAAAAATTTTTAACCAATCAGATTTTAGTGATATTTGTAATTCTAGAAAATTTCTGTACTATCGTACAATGCAGATCATTGCAAGATTTGGATATACCAAATATGGAAATAATCCTGACTGTATTAGCTATAACAATATTTACAACTACTGTTATCATTAAAGCAACTACTATTAATTGCCAAAGAATCAATATGATTAAGATATTAATAAGTAAAACCAAATACCAACAATAAAAGCACCAATAAGCATGATACTAAAAAACAAAACCAGTAACAAAAAATAAATCAATGCTAACAAACTACAGAAAAGAGCAATAATATTTACAAATACTATGAATAATAGCTTAACAAATAATATGATGATGCTACAAATGACAGATTCAGCAATTATAGCTTCAGCAAGTAATACTTCAATATAATGGCTCTAGTAAACTATGATTTCAATATCAGAAAAAATAATGCTACAAAAAGTGATTAAATTGTTGATTAATATTGTAATAAAAAAAATAATAAAACAAAACAAAAAACTTATTTATATATAATATTGATCTATGTAACCTGTAATATAAGATCTATAATAATTAATATTTTTTATTATTCAATATTTTTTAATATTATTATCAATACTGAAATTAGAAAATTCTTTATCTCTATTTAAAATTAAATTATTAAAATAGAAAAATAAAAAAAAGAATAATATATCAGATAATTATCTCGAAACTTGTTTTTTTCTTTATTTTTAAATTATTAATATTACTTAATATTTTTTATATAAAAATTAAGAAAAGAGGCTTATACTTTAAACCAATATTTAGCTTCTTTTAAATTCCTTTTTGTTCTAATTCTATTTTGATAACAATAATCAATATTTTGCATTCTATCAGTGTTACCTATTTTAGCTGATCTTAGATACAATTTAAAGATATTTTCAAATTTATTTCAACTCCAGTTCTATATTTATAACAATTTTCAAGATTATATATTCCACTTTTGTCTTTTATTTCTGCCAATACATAAATTTGAATTACTTGAATGTTTAAACCCAATTTTAATATAAAGTGTACTATTTTACTAAATTGTAAAATTAGATCTTAAAGATGGAATTAAAGGCAAGTAGAATATAGAAAAAAACAATTAAGCAATATACATATATACGTACACTTGTAATCTTCTATTTTTAAATTATAGATATTATTATCTATGTAATATGTGATATTTAAAATCTTCACTAGTTATAGATTATAAATTGATACAAAATATAAGTATATTTGCATCTAGTACTACTTTTAAAATCTTTATTTTTCACAATATTCATATAAGGTATAGTAATATGTATGTGTATATTTGGTACTACAAATATTATTTAATATTAAATATGGATATCCTCTATATAGTATTATTCTATTTCTACTTCTTTAAAAATAGTAGGTAACTAGAGTAACTGTAGCTAGTGAATACTTTGTATAATCTCCTAAGTTGCTGTATTTTAACTAAGTCAGTATAGTATTTTTACAAAACTTAACAAAGAAGATTTAAGACAATTTGCAATTACAAAAAAGGCAACAATTAAAAGTATATAAAGATACTAATAACCATTTAGGATTTTGTATCCAAAGAGTGTTTTATTATTAAAAGTATATGAAGACACAATATCAAACTCAAGGTCTATATTGAATGCTTTTATACTTTACAATTTTTTAGAAATATAATAGTCTATATCTAGTATCTATACTACAAATATTATAAATAATACTAATAAGATATATACTATATATAATACAGATACTATATATAAGACAAATAATATATATATGATATGTAAAATAAATAATATAGATGCTATAAATATGATATATAATAGATATGCTATATATATAGTATTTCACGTAGTTGATCATCAGCCAATCAGGTTGTACCACATGTGATCTACATATAAAACATTTGATCAAATCACATTTTTGGTCTGATCTTGGCTTTCTGTGATTGGATTTGGATGATCTCACTATCTTTAGATTCGTCTCAATGAGTTGATTCAAATATTAGTAATTTTATTTTGATTGGACTGGTAGTTGTGAAGATATGAGCCAAATAACTTTTTTTTAAAGGTCAACAGTAGTTACTGTATATTAAGATATTTAGATTTTTGTATAGAAACAACAAATTAAAAATTTAATTAAGAAATAATGAATTAAAAACAAAAATTAAAGAATTAACTAAAACTAAAAATTTAAAATTTTAATTAAAAAAATAATAAAATAAAAATAAAAAATAAAAATTAATTAATACAAATTAAAAAATAAAAAAAATAAATAATAAATAAAAAAATATATTTTTATAATACTATAGTATCACAGCACTATAGTATTTTAGCCAATCAAAATTTAAGATCAGATGTAATATATAAATTAGCTTTATATAATAAAAACAAAAAATTTTTTAAAAAATCAATTATATCTCAAAATTTTGTTTATGAAATAATCTTTTAGAACTAATAAAAAAATTTCTTGCAAAATTTTACATTAGTTTTTGTTTAACCCCAATATTAAAATCTCACCCTTACCCTAATATTAAAAAAAGAATTTATCTATATATCACACCAGTGTGATACTCTTATTTATCACCCAACCAATTAAATTTCAGGATTAGATATAATATAAAAAATATAAAAAACTGTAATTTTTTGAAAAATCACCAATACTTCAAAATTTTGCATAGGAAACAGCCCTTCGTGTTTTAACAAAAAAAATTCCTTGCAAAATTTTAATATAAACTATATCTCATTCTAACCCAAAACTGAACTTGCTCTAACTCTAATTAGAACAAAGTAAACTGTTTTATTTTTTTATTATTTTGATCTCACATTATACCTATTCTTATAAAATGCAATATATAATTGTATTACATGGTGCGATATATATATTTTTTCTTAAAAAAAAACAAATTTACTTTAAACAAATTAATTTATATATACAATCTAATAATTATCTATAAGATAATACTATGGTACTATAGTTTTGTAAAAGTATTTTATATATAAAATATATTATTAAAAAGTACCGTATATTACCGAATAGAAGCTACTCCCGAATAAAAGCTACCCTCTTGATTTTGGATTAAAAATTTGGAGGAAGTTATTATGTTTTAATAATAAAATTGGACCCAAATAGAAGCTACTC